CTTCGGAAAAAACGCCCCGACCCATGCTTCTACCACTCCTGCATCTGCAACTGTTCCGCCGCCGCCGCCCCCGCTTCCTTACAATGACGCATCCTCGTCGCGCCACCACACGTGTCGGTGTCTCGCCTGAGACGTCCTCACCGTTTACTGTTTACCACCATGACGCTTGAAACCATCAACGGCTGCGTAGGTAGAGGCAGGGTCGTTTCCAAAACACAACTCCCCCCACAGCGCCGCGCACAGCAGTTACGCGGATGAAGGATGGGTCGTTTTCAAGTTGTGACTCTCGCCTTAGCGTAGCGCACTCCGCCTGGGAAGGTTTCATCCATAACACGGACTAAAACAACTTCACTTTCGGTATGTAGCTATCGCATCGGCGTCGCTCACATCCGTTGCAGAAAACAGTTTCAACCGTTACAATAGAGACCGAATGATTTTCAAACATGTGGCTGCCGCCTTTAGTGCCGCGCACATGTGTCTTGGGCTCACCTCCTCCTCCGCCGCCGCTTCCTCCTCCTCCTCCTCCTCCGCCTCCTCCTCCTCCTCCTCCTCCGCCTCCTCCTCCCGGGAGGCAGCTCCTGAGAGGTCATCGTCCGAACGAGGGGGGCTACACTTGCGGCCCGTCCTTTGCCGCCTTCGCTGGTCGCCCGCCGCCCCAAAAAACTCCCACCTGCGTCCATGTCGCCCGTCCTTCCTACACGTTCTGACTGCAATCCAGGCTCAGTGGGCCCTTCATCGGGCCTCATGGCCTTCCAGGGCTGGACCCAGTGTCAGCCGTTCTCGTTGTGCTTTCGTTTCCCCCTCGTGCTGCCCTCGCTCCGCCTCTTTGCTGCAAAACGAGATCCAAACGAAAATGGTCCACGAGATCGCTAAAACAGCGAGTAAGTCGAGCCCTGGAAGGCTATGAAGCCCGATGAAGGGGCCACTGAGCAGGATCATAATCAGAACGTGTAGCAAGGACGGGCGACATGGACGCAAGACCCTTGGAGGCCGAAGTTGGATTTTTTGGGCGGCGGGCGACCAGTGAAGATGGCAAAGGACGGGCCGCAGAGGCAAGGACACAAGAGTACCCTAGATGAAGGCGCGCGTCCTTCCTAGGCGCGTTGACTGTAAGCCTGGGACAAGTGGCACGCCTGCCCTGGCTCTTGCACGAGAGGAGGGCGAGCTCCACAGGCAGGCCAGCGGCCAGGGGGGAGGGGGACCAGGAGGGAACAGACGAACGACGAACAAAAATACTCGTCGGTCGGAAGAAGTGGGTAGAAACATGAAGCAGAACGGCGTTGCAAATAGATTGGGCTTCCGCCCGCCCCCTAAGGACGAGGGCAAACGGAATGCCACTCGACGCCTCCTGAAGTAGGAAGGCGCCTAAAGCACAGTGGACTTGAGCACGCAAAAATGCCTTCTGTCGACGACCGGCGCGGAAAGATGTCCGAGCTCCAGAGCACAGCTGTGCAAGAGAGTCCGCCGACCCCGGCATGCCAGGGGTGAAAAGGCGTGTGAGACATTTGGCCGTCCCCTCTCCCCCAGGGTTAGGTCGGGCCTGTCCCCCTACAGGCGGATTTTGGACGAAAAAGAATATATATATATATATTATATATATATTATATATATATTAATATTATTATTACTGCTACTATTATTTATATATATATATATATATATATATATCGGTCTCGGTCTCGGAACGTGTCTGTGGCCACTGGAGGGGCCAGGCACGAGCAAGCGACGCCTGTCGCGATCAAATCAAAAACCCCCCTAGCCACGGCCCCCCCTTTCAGACGAAAAACGGGGGGGAGCGGCCGAAACGGCTCACCTGGATACCCCGCCCCTGGCCAGGAACAAATCGTTGCTCTGTCGCAGGGCCAGAACGGGAAGGGACCGGTGGCCTCGGGCAAGCAGCATGCGCCCCAGCGCTTGCTGAGCCGGCTTCCGAAGACGAGAGATGGAGGGTGGAAGGCGGCAAGACGGGGCAGCGGGGGAGACGAGAGGGACGAGGGAGGGGCGGACCAAGGAGAGGGGGAGGGAAGGGGGGAGACAGAGACAGAGGAAGCAGCAAGGGACCAGGGATGCCAAGGAAGCGGCGAGAGTAACAAAGAAGCACTTGCACAATCATGTCAGATTGTCGTCCCTACTGTCTGGATCTCTGGATCCATCGGCGTGAGACACAGAGCAACGGGAATCAAAATCTGGCGGGGCATTCCTCTACCAGTCCGCAGAGGACCTCTACCGCAGCTCCCTCAGACGGTCCAGCCGGTTCTGAAGCTCACGAACGAGAGAGCCGGAGGCCTCCTGGCCGGTCTTGCGCTTGGCCCCTGCGGCCTCGAGAACCTTCACAATGGCATACATTATGGGAGCCATCTCCGGGACGACCGCGAAGTGAAGCTTCACCGAGTGCTTGTCGAAGGCCTTCCTGAACTTGCAGAGATGCACGCGCTCGGCGAGGTAGGTGGTCGTCGTAACGGCGGCGTGGTGCTCCTTCAGTATGTCGATGGCCTGCTTGAGCTCAGGGCCGTGGTCGGTTTTCACGATGGTGTCGACGATGCGCGCCCAGAGGCGCACCTGCTTGTTCCCCGCCTCGGTCGTGTCGGCCTTCTGGTCCCGGAGCTCTTTGAGGCGCTCCTCGAAGGATGTCATTTCGTTCTGGCCAGCTTCAATGATGGGGTCCGTCCTCTTCGCGACGACGGTGGTGATCGTGGCAGCCCGCAGCTCGCGCACATCCAGGTCCAGCTTCAGGGCGAGCTGGGCCACCAAGGTCAAAATTTCCCGTTGGAGTTGGGCCTGTGCCTGCTCCTCTGCCGCACTGCCACCCACGCGCTGTCGCTGGGCACGGCGGCCATCAGCCGGCGTCAGGAGGGCGTCCATCCGGCCGGATGTGCACGAAATGTCCGGATATATGCTGCTGGAGTTCTGGCAATCGAGCACAAGTACGGCTACACAGGGGGCAAGCGAGGCAAGAAGGAGGATGAACATGATGATGAGTAGCACTCCCTCTTCCCACACAATACCCTCTAGCGATAGTTTGTCGTACATGGTACTGCGCAACTCGCAAAGATGCAAAAACCTTCCGGCACCAGGGGCACTGGTTTGTGACTGTGGCCAGTGTGGATTGTAGAATTTGGCCATGGCCTTCGGATTGGCTGTGAGCTTGGTGCACTGCCAGGCTCTGCGCAGTCGGAAACACTTGTCCACAAATTCCGCCTTCCGGTGTCGGTATTTCACACACATGCATAAATATATCGGCAGGAGGAGGCGTTGGATCTGCATCGGCAGGCTGCGAGACGTGACCTGGGGGTGGGATTTCGACAGATAGGTACTTCTGGCGAAGCTCGGTGGCATCGATAGCAACGAAGAGATCCGAATTGGAGGTGAAGATCGTGAACAGATTCTCGCCCACAGCGCGCGAGAGGGCGTCTGCGGAGTCAAGTGAAAGCAACTCGGCAATGTCCGCCTGCAGCAGCGCAATCCATTTGTGAGGGTTGCCAGTGATTTTCCCGGCTGCGTCGACCATCGGTTCTTCTTCCCACGGCGCCTGCCCAAACATAGTGGCGAGTAGTTGGTTGTGGTCGTGGGGAAATCGAGACACCCTCTGCCAGAACTGGAGGCGTCGTATGCGTAGCTCGATCTGCGACGGCGCAAGCCGGATCCATCGCCATACTTGTTGAGAATCTGCAGCCGTGTAGCGGGTGACTCCGTTGTTGACCTGCTTCTTACAACCTGTACCATGCATGAGCTTACGGATCTTGCCAAGCAAGAAGCGATCGAACTGACCATGTTCAGAAGATGTGAGAGTAAAGCACTCCATGCCCGAATATAACGCGCCTTGAACCATAGACATAAATAGCATTCGGCGGGTAGTGTAGTCCCGGCACTTGGCCCAGAACTTGCCCATAGTCGACCAGCCAATCTGTGCGGCGCGAAGTCGTCGGGTGATTTCGGGACCACTTCTTCCACTATGGTGCAGATGGGGCCCGAGATAACGAGCATGTGGAAGAACGCTGCCTGCCAGAAGTCCTCGGTGGTAGACCTGTCGCATGCGGGCGTCCGCACCATGGCCGCAGAAGTGAACGACATGCTCCATCTTAGTTTCGTTTTGTGCGATGTTCCGTTGCGAGAGAGCGTCGTTGAGGCATTGATTTGAATGGGCGGTGGAGGCGACCAGCGAATCAACATCAGTGACGACGTGGGCTTTGGAGTTGTCATCTGCGTAGGTCGTGATGGAGACATCGCAGCAACAGTCGTACACGGGGTGCTTGAAGAGCAGCTGCGGGTCTGCAGTGGCCTGTCGCCATTGGTCGATAGCGGGGTGCGCGACCTCGAGAAACAAGGGGCCAGCAATGACGTCTCCTTGGAGAGCTCCGCTGCCCAAGCGTAGATGGAGTTCCGAATCTGCGGCGCGGATGGTGGTAGCTGCTTGACGGTGTCGCTGCTGAAGGAGCTGCTCGTCGGCGGGGTCGGCGATGGCGTGTATAGCAGCGTCCAGGTGCGCATGCGCTGGGCTGGGAAATGCGTTGGTGGCGTCATGGAAGCTGAGAGCATAAGATTTCTTCGCAGCCATGAGGCGGGTAATGAGGACCTGCCGCTGCATGATAGCAGCCTCTCTACATCGATGCCGAATGTAACCGTATGCATATGGGCGGGAAGCGTACGGCCCAGCACGAGACCAGAGATGAGCGTAATATGACTTCCCAAGGCCGTCCAACACATGAATGAGCCGCAGACCCTTGCATCCCGGCTTGTCGTTGTGTTTTGGTAGTGGGTATGCACGGCTGTGGTGCCATCTGGTAGGGGTGGCGCCGTAGAGCCGGATCGACCATAGCAAATTGTGGAGGAGAGCTTGGAAATTCGGGAGGTGTACGTCGGGCTCGTTGCTGCCGAGTCCGGCGGTTTGGGGGGAGGGAGCGTCATTGGGGTGGAGGGCCATGCGGTATAGTTCGAAGGGGATGGTACCAGGGAGCGTCGTCTTGCGAAGTTTGGCGCGCCGTGCTCGGTGCTGCAGCCCT